AATTTTTTTTTATTAATAGTCTTATGAACGTGGACTTGGCGCGATTTTTTTACAGTGAAACTGTTTTTGTTCGGATTTTAGTATTTTTTGTAATTATAATAAAAATTTACAATTGGTACCAACTTAAATCTCGCGTTGGATGCATTTTTTTATAGCAAACTAGCCCCTTGAAGCTACAGTTTATGTAAAAATAATTCCAGCGCACCCTGGCGGGTGTAAATGCAAGCTGTGAAATATCTTTTTTTTAACTGTAGTTTCCCATCTAATAAAGGATTACTATGCATTCTCGAATATTTTAGTCTGTGGCAGATCACTTTGCCCATCGAAAAAAAGTCAGAATCGAAATTTTTGCGTTGCTATAGTTTGTGCTGATCAAATTTAGTAATTTCAAGTAGATTAATTGTTATAAGTGAATATCATTAATTAATGACAGTAGAATAAAGTATGAATTGCTGTTATAATATACAATTTAGGAAAAAAAAGTACCGTAGAATTAAATAAAATTTTGCAACCTCAAAATACCGTTCTGCTTACAGTAAACACAGTCGGTAGTCTGGCGCTTCGTTGACAACGGATTTGAACGGAACTTGGCGCCAGATTCTACCGAATCTGTGGATAGAAATCACAGCCATTATGATGTAAGTAATGACGGTGATTTTTTAATCGTTACTAATAAGTTTTTGATCAATCTTATTATTTAATATTGTGTAAATTTATTTCATATTTTGAATTTGCGTTTATTAAATACCCAATGTTTTTAGATTTTTCGAATGAAATATTAATATTAATCGGTATCGCAGGTAATGAATGATAAATAGATTAATTGTAAAAGTAAAAAAAAATTCGAGTTTGCGAAGAACACGCGCTTACTTTCAGTATCGTTACCCATAAATTATTCTAATCATAAAATTTCCAACTTTTAAATCACAAATTAATTTTTTACTATGTTCATGTAGGATTTTTGTATTTCATGTATTTTTTTTTACATTTTAATAGATTTTTTTTAAGTTTCATCATAAAAATTTTGTAAAAGATAATTAAATTTACTTATCAACATGAATTGTCGCTAAAACTTGGTCGATAATTCTTAAATGAAATAAAAATGGGTACATTTATTTGAAAACAATTGTACAGAAATATTTTTATAACCAATTTATTTAAATCAATTAAATAAAATAATTAATTATTAATAATTTTTATAAACATAAAACAAAAAAGCATAAGTAAAAAATCATCAGGTATTTTTATTATCAAAAATATTTTAAGTTATCAATAACTGAATGTCAACTTAAATATCAATAAAAATTGTTTTGGTAGAAAATATTTATACTAGTTGCATCAAGAATAGTAAAGTAAATAAATATGAGTTTAATTGTAAAAATATTAAAAATTACATCGCAGTAGGAATCAAATGGTTAAATTGTGTGGGAACATGTTTTGTAGAATATGCTTTTTCATTACATAGAACTTATAATTAATTATAATTTTAATACTGAATTATAAAGACTTACAGTTTCATGTGTTAAAAAAATTGCTATCATCAAAATCGAACTAAAAATTTTTTAATGATATTATCCATATATCTACTATGTATTTAACCACCTATGGCTAAATAGATTTAGCCGAAAATTTGAAAAGAAAAATATTACAAGAACTATAAATAAAAAGGTAAATTCGATGATTTACTCAAGTAATGTTATTAGTATTGTTTAATATATGTATCCTGAATTATAAATTACGGAATTAGGGCAGTTTTTAGGCGTTTCATTGATAAACGAATGATGGTTAAATCTTCAGAGTAACTCATTAGTATTGCATGATACTTATCTCTCAGGTATGAATTCATGTGTTTCAAGACATCAAAGTTTAGTGAAATCTTTAACTAATTTAATTTAGATTCATTGAATCCTATATATATATATATATATATATATATATATATATATATATA